TTTGAGAATTGATGTTCGCACGCAATTATATTTACCGTATACACAAAATAATAGCCACTCGGAACAATAATGCTTTGATCTTTTTTCTTGTCGATCGACAACGATTTTTACTGAATATTATGAAGACTTGATGTCGATACCTGAAAACAAACCAGTATTTTCAGACCATTCTATTGTTGCCATTAGTATTACAACACATCTCATTGTACCATGCATCCCACTCACTCATCTCAATTTCCACACGACAATATACATAATAATGTGATGAACTCCGGAGCAAGCATCCCACGCCCATCATGGAAGCCGGAACTAGGACGAAAATCATGTATCTACACATTCTACACATACACAATACATGTGTACACAAGTATTTCAGAGCATTGTTTCACACGAAATTTTTACCTAAGCGTGAACCAGATACTCACCCGATTGTTCGCCTTGGTGTTCAAACAGACAACGATTTCACGTAGAATGAGGTAACAATGCCTGAAAACGAAACGAAAACGGAAAGTAAAAAAAAAAATTTTTTTTTTTTTTTCCTCCTTCTTCAACTGACGAGTATGGTTAGCAGAATGACAATTTTTAAGAGTTTCATCAAAGTGCTTCTATGCGCATATGAGTACGACACCCAAATTGGGCGTGGTTGTTTTAATTATGCATCTGTTAAAATTCATAATCTGAAAATGGACTTCTTATTTTCTCTCTGGATATCCGATTTGCTAGGCGCAGAGTATGTATACGGACATTTTTTCTAACGCAGAAGTTTGGATTCTGGAATATCGGAACGTCTTGTGTGCAGATTTTAATGGTAGGACATCAGGAATGCATCTACTTAATTCCAACTACATCGTGCATATGTATATTCCATCCTTTCAAGCCGAGACATCGCGCATACATGATGTAGAAAATCTGTTCGCGGAAGATTGCATGCAGGAAGTTGAAATTATTAAATGCATAAGTTAATGGAACGAAGGAAATTGCGTTCTTGATTACAGTATTATGGTGGTAAACTTGGGAATGTTGTTCTTGCGGTCGCTTTGTACACACCAATATATAGGAAACGCATGTGAAGGTCAAATAAAAGCCATCGTGGGTTATGGAAATGCCGAATTCTCGATGGTGAAACGTGTTAAGGTTCTATCCACTTATCTAGTTCATCTGGTGAAAGGAAAAAATTCATCACTCATTTAACACACACATGACCGAACCATAATTACAATGACGAGTTACCATGGCGAAACAAATATTTACCTGTGGACATTGCGATACTCGATAAGACCAGGCAAAATGGAAAAAAGTAATGGGCTTGAACTACAAATTTTACTATTATGGAATATAATGATGGTTACACGCATTCGTTTGTACTCGTCCAAACATCGAAAGAGCAAAATGCTTGCATTGTGTCAGTATGTATAAGTGCTCACACACATCGCGATATGACGTAAACAATGTTTTTTGCCAAAAAAAATTTTACTATTATCATTATTCATACATTGTATGAAGTTTACCTAAATAAAAATTGCCGTGCGTCATGACCACGGTTGTCCTTCCGGAATTAAATAATCTCATGTGAATATGGACGAAGCGGAAGTTCCTTCGCTCCAGCAGTTAAAGCGAGAAGGGTACAGACAATATTAATTCTAAGACATTGGAAGTCCAATCCTATCGGTCATAGTTTTTACCCATATTATGGTGTATGCACCCCACTTTCATTAGTCGGTTACACGAACTATTTAATTAATGTAAGCACGTATGTACGTACATTGTTTGGAATCAATGGAATGCGTTCTTTTATTTGCCGATTAAACGACAATCGATGTGTACATCACTATGCCAAGTGTAAGCGCCACTTTTTTTTTGTTATTGCTATTGTGCAGCACACAATCTCTTTTTTTTCTCTTAATCACTAATGACGATATCTTGCCTTTGAAAGACTGGTCCCAGAGAATGTACAGAATGTGCGTGCGATATAGTAACAATGTGGATTATGGGTAGTTGGTAATTCTATTGTCAATGTTCTTATGATGTTTTTCTGATAATCGATTGTTCCACAAACTTTCCCAACGATAACATGTATGCGAGTTATTTTTATATTGTGCATTACTTAAATAATGATGTGAGAACTCTCTGGTTGAAGTCCATTTTCGACTGACAATAATAAACACTGCGATCTTTTTCTGAACGCCCGAAACAAACAAAGTAGTAACCTATCCGCCATCAATGGAAACTTCATCACGTGATCTAAAGTCAGATTTGGGATTATGGCTTTCTTCTGTGTGTCACGAGGACACGCCATCACCGGTTAGAACGGCGATACCCGCACGCCAAACATTTACGGATATGCACATTGCTAATCTCGGTCTATTTACTGTATATGATGATGAACTTTTAAGCTATTGCCACAAAATTATGCACGCCTACCTTATGTCACTCTTCTTAGATGCACGCATAGCGGTACGTGTTCCTTCTATTTCCGAGTAAAATTAATGATGGCAAGCACGGTTCATCAGCTCGTACAATATTTCTTGAACCACGGTTCTGTAATATTAATTAATTCCAATCCGAGATTGGGAATCTTGTTTTGCGGGTTGTCCCACAATCTAAAGGTGGCTTGATTCGTTGGACTGACGTCGTTAGAACTAAGTGGTCGTGTGTTATATCGATAATATGATTAATGCCACAATAACGCCGGCCCCAACATTGTTTTTCAAGTTGGTCCGTGCTAACAACGTATGGGTAGATAATGCACCAAAGATTTACTAATCAATGATCGATCATGTATTATTAGCAAGGTGCAGAACGTTCTTCCCCACACTACAAAATCTGTGTTATTCTAGGATATAAACAATTTAGAGATACAAGTTATCCCGATCAACCATGCTACAATCTCGATACTATAACTTCAAAGAATCTAAAAAAATACATGTAATAACAACCTTTTTACACCACTGTGAGTGCACATTTCCATTTTTGTTTTCAATATATCTGATTTGGATATACATTATTTACCATGAGGTGACAGTTATTTTAACCTATTGATCCGCATGGCCTCATTATTATTTGTGCTTACCTGTCTCTTACGAATTTCACTGTATTACTTGAGACGTTTGACATACGGTTTACCATTGGTCATTGTTGAACAACGTTTGATTGTCGACGACCTGTCACGATGAAACTTTAATTTTTATCAATTGAAAGCATATACTGTATATTGCATACCTATGAACGATCGTTTTCAAACTGACAAGAAATTACGTACGCACGTATGTATCGTATATACTGTATGTATGCGCATGCTCCCATGCACCATGAATTTGACAGATTCTTCCTTGCTGTGACCTCGGGATATTCTTCCTTGATGTTTTCAACCGTGTCCCCTGTAATTTTTGTTTTTCGGTTACGTCAATTATGTGTCACGCATCGCCCTTCATTCATATCGGAGTATTTACGGCAATCCTTCTGTGCATTTTTTTTTTTTTCATGCACCACATTCATCTTTATTGGTCTCCGATGTTCGATGTAAACAAACACCAATTAAACTTTGGAATGACAAATTGTTCGGAAATTTTGGGTTTTACAAATAAATAAATGTGTATGTATAATGTGTAATGTGTACATTGATATACAAAAATATACGTGCCGATATTACACAGTTTTAAGACTCAAATATATGGCGAGAAATAATTTCCGTGAACCAATAAATTTATCCGTCGCGCGGCCGATGGCTCGACAACGTTTTTTTGAAACTGTATTAGGATTACCAACGAACTCCTTATTGTTATTAGTATCATTATCATTATTATCATTGTTGCTGTTGCTGTTGTTGTTGTTATGATGATTGTGTTTGGCTTCGTTCCCGCGATCACCTCATGAGTGCAGTAAAATGCCCGTGGATTATCGTACGTACAGTGAATGGTCGAGATCCTCGTCGGGCGACTTCTTACAAATAAAAAAGGTTACCTTTGCTAATTACCACAAACTCGTTTGCAATTTCACAAATCCAATCAAATGAACCGAAGATTGATGCCTGAATAAAATAAACTTTGAAAAAAAAACTTTTTTAAAAAAAGATCTCGATTAAAATTGCCATGTACGTAAATAAGGAGCACGTGATCTTGGCGGTTTTAGCTAATTTAGACCGGTTTTACTATTTACCATGCAAGCCTTCTTATCAGTAATTAGGGGTGACCACCGCCAATCGAGTGAGATCGAGGGTAGCAGCATGAGATCACGACTCTCGAATGTAAGTTTTTTAATTAATTATATTTCCCGTGAGAAAAACGTATTATACGGTTATACATATATAATCACAAGTTATTTATTTGGCTGAGTTTGTTTATTTATTTGATTGAT